TATTGGTTCAGTTAGGTATTGCTATCAACGATTTTGTTGGTGCGCCACTTGGAGGATTGTTGTTATCGGTTTTGGGCCAACCTAATGCTTTCATTGTCATTGCAAAATAAGTTCGTTCCATGGCAGCTTCAGATGGACCTTCGTGCGACACAAACCCGAAAGAAAACAATCTTGGATATTTCAATAGGAGACGGCGCCCTAATGAGAATTTTGCCAATAGGCCAAAAGACACAGCCGCCAGGGCCACTAAACATGCTGTAACATATGATCCGAATGCAACGTATGCATGCATCTGAACTGGTCTCTTCTTCTCTTGTTCATATATGAAACGTTGCGAACGCATAACAACCGAGCGATCAGAACCCGGGAATGGTAGACATACACCATTTACAATTTCCGAACGGAAAATTAACGGACGATGTTTGAGCACAGGTTCGAAGCGTGGCATTTTTTCAGAATATAATTTTTGTCGGATTCCACGCAATTCGTTGGCATGAGCCAGACCGTAGACAGCACTTTCCCATGTTCCAAAGTGAATGCCAGCGCCACCACCACTGTTAGAACCACCCTTTGTATAACTTTGCAAGTAGGTTTCCACCGAATTGACAATACCATCGAAGTTCTTTTCAATAAATACAATTCCCATATCGGCAGTTATGGAATCAAAGCCACATGCCGATACAACATACACGTTGCGCTCCTGGGCTTCTTTGTGGTATTTCAATTGCATTGTTTCCATATACTGAGGTTCGCCGCTTACATCCACATGATGAGTACCAGCCTCAATGCAGGCACGCACAACGGGTTCACCATAGAACCGATAGGGTCCGCAGCAATTTACCAAAACTCGACAACGTTTGGCCATTTCCAACAGTGAACTTTGATCGTCAATATCGGCAATTATAATGGGTGTGTTCTTGAGATTTTTATTTGCCTTGGTTCCCATATCCTCGAGGACGGCTTCCAGTTTCTTGCGTAGCCAAGATGAAGTCAGAATGTCAATTAATCGACTGAAGAATAATATAGCAGCAGTTCCGATGCGCTACCAGACAAACTATTCAACACCGTTGGTCTGATGCTGGACCAGATTTTCACTCTGCGCCAAATCCTGGAAAACACACATCGACACATTCCACCTATTCGTCGCCTATAAACCCGCATTCGAAAGCCCTATCTGTTCAGAGGTGTTTAAAGCCATGTCTGCGCTCTGCACTCCTGCAAAATTTATACGACTATGCGGGTTAACTTTAAGTGGCACAAGGTCAACATTTAAAGTCGGAAAGGACCAATCGGAGCCATTCAATACGAACGAGGGTTCGGATCAGGTAACAGCCTCTGATGTGACCTTTTTAACATCATTCTGGAAAAGGTCATACGAGAATGTGAAATGTGAACAGAAATGACACTCTGTATGACTCTGTAGTGACAACCGCCTACGCCGATGATATCGACATAATGGTAAACTCAGACCAACTGTAGAACTTGAGAACTACAACTTCAAGGTAGTCAACCTTGATACCGCCATATATAAAACTAATGACATCGAAGACGGATAGTGTTGGCCAACAGATCGTACTATCGTCTAAGTAAGCAGTTTAGGAACAAGACAACCTTTCCCCAGGCAAACTCGACATAGTCAGCCATATCGAGGTGCAACGACTATGGCGCTAGCTTATGTTGTGCGAATGAATGAGAATGCTTCAGCTCAAAAGGCATGTAAAAGCGATCCTACTGATGGTTTACGCAGAAGGTGAATTATACGGAAAGATCAAGTGGAGCATGTCATATCAAAACATGGTCTTTGAAATTGTAAAAACTGCGCAAAAGATCGACGCACCTGGAAATTCAGTTTTTATACCCTTCACCACACTTTGGTACAGGGTATTTGTGCATATGTTTGTAACAGGAAAAAGGAAACGAGATAGACACATGGTTCCTTTTGAGAATATGCATAGAATCACTTTCTAAGTCGATTTATGCATGTCCGTCCGTCTGTCTGTCTGTCTATCTGTCCATGTTAAATTGTAAACAAAGTACAGGTCACATTTATGATCCGAATTGGATGAAATTTGGCATAGGTCACTTATTCGGCCCAAGGACGAACCCTATTGAAATTGGAAAAAATCGGTTCGGATTTAGATATAGCTCCCATATATATATTTAACCGATTTAATTTAAACGGTCCGTATATAACTTTCGATTTGCACGAAATTTGGTACAGCCTAATCATTTAGGTCTAGCATGACGTCTGCCAAGTTTCGTGAAAATCGGTCCAGATTTAGATATAGCTCCCATATATAGTTTCGTCCGATTTCATGTAAATGGTGCCCAAAGTCCCCATATATCTTTTGATTTGCACGAAATTTGACATAACGTACTGAATTATGCCTAGAGTGATGTCTGCCAAGTTTCGAGGAAATCGGTCCAGATTTAGATATAGCTCTCATATATAGTTTCGTCCGATTTCATGTAAATGGTGCCCCAAAGTCCCTATACATGTTTCGATTTGCACGAAATTTGACATAACGTACTGAATTGAGCCTAGAATGGTGTCTGCCCAGTTTCGAGAAAATCGGTCCAGATTTAGATATAGCTCCCATATATAGTTTCGTCCGATTTCATGTAAATGGTGCACCAAAGTCTTTATATATCTTTCGATCTGCACGAAATTTGGCATAACGCACTGAATTTAGCCTAGAGTGATGTCTGCCAAGTTTCGAAAAAGTCGGTCCCGATTTAGATATAGCTCCCATATATAGTTTCGTACGATTTCATGTAAATGGTGCACCAAAGTCCCTATATATCTTTCGATTTGCACGAAATTTGGCATAACGTACTGAATTAAGCCTAGAATGATGTCTGCCAAGTTTCGAGAAAATCGGTCCAGATTTAGATATAGCTCCCATATATAGTTTCGTACGATTTCATGTAAATGGTGCCCCAAAGTTCCTATATATCTTTCGATTAGCACGAAATTTGGTACAGCCTAATCATTTAGGTCTAGAATGATGTCTGCCAAGTTTCGGGAAAATCGGTTCAGATTTAGATATAGCTCCCATATATAGCTCCGATTTCATGTAAATGGTATATATATCCTTCGATTTGCACAAAATTTGGCATAACGTAGTCTAGAATGATGTCTGCCATATATAGTTTCGTCCAATTTCATGTAAATGGTTCCCCAAGTCCCTAAATATCTTTCGATTTGCACGAAATTTGGCATAACGTACTGAATTGAGTTTAGAAAGACGTGTGTTAAATTTCGTGAAAATCGGTCCAGATTTAGATATAGCTCCTATATATAGTTTCATCCGATTTCATGTAAATGGTGCACCAAAATCCCTATATATCCTTCGATTTGCACTAAATTTGTCATAACGTACTGAATTGAGCCTAAAATGATGTCTGCCAAGTTTTGAGAAAATCGATCCAGATTTAGATATAGCTCCCTTTTATTATAGATTGATTTTAAGTAATTGACGCACCAAGGAACCAAAAGGCTGATAGACAAAACGTTTTGAAATAAGTATAACCTAACCTGTGACAAGTTTGTTTGAAATCGCTTAATATTTGGATAGAGCTTCCATATATATTTTTGCCCGATTTCAAGTAAATTGGGCATAAAACTCCTCATGCTAGTCAGATTGACATCAAATTTTGCACAACGTACAAAATTTAGCATAGAATTACGTAGTAGCGGTTTCTAGAAGTACATAGCCCAACGGATGACCTATTTATAATTGCTTTGAAGTCGATTTACATACTTTATGGATAGATCAAGGTAGATTCACATTTAGATAAATATCACATATTTTATTTCATTCAATTTCATGTTAATAGTCCTGTTTAATATACCCATAGTGGTGAAGGGTATCATATAGTCGGCCATTACTCGCCCAAAAATTTATACACATCAACTTCGTGTCGAAAATAACACGCCGAATTTCTGTACTATAATTGAATGTTTTTCATATTGATTACAAATTTTGTGTAAACTTTACTTTAGTAACTTCAGACCTTGTATTTTTTAACAAAACTATAAATGGTAGTATAACCTAACAATTAAAATGTATAATATTTATTTTCTTATATTGTAGATTTAAGCCACTGAAACTACAAGGATTACTAATTGTATACAATCTATCTATGGCATTATTAAATTTACACATTTTGAAGGAATTGGTGGAAAGTTCATCCCAACTTAAATACAGCTATTGGTGTCAGCCGTGTAGAGTTAACTATTCTGCGAATGAAATTAAGGTAAACCGTTAACATACTCGTATAAGAATGTAATACTATGTAAATGTATTTTATTATTTCCTTTTAGCTAGCCTCTGCAGTATGGTGGTTTTATTTTTCAAAATTATTGGAGTTTTCCGATACGGCATTTTTCATATTGCGACACAAATGGAAACAACTGACACCGTTGCACATCTATCATCACAGTACAATGTTTCCATTGTGGTGGATTGCCATTAAATGGGTGCCAACGGGATCAAGTATGTATTGCAATTAATGTTATTAATATAAATAAATATTGACAGCAAAAGACTTCGAAGATGCAGGGAGTTCTTATTAAGTCAATGATTAATAGAGACTTTATAGACAAGCTAAGGAGATTTTTTAGACATGTCAGGGGGTTTATACACAAAAAGAAAGTCTTTATAGATGATGTGAATCTAGGTGAACTGAACACATAATCTTTATGAACTAGATGAAGAGGGAAGGGAAGACTAGCTGACGCAGAAAGTGTCTATTGACGAGCTGAAACACACAGGCTGAATTATGGAATGCATTAGGCGAGCTTAAGCACATATATTGTATAAGCTTGAAGTCTTATATACGAGCTGAAGAAGAGTGTCTACATAGGCGAGCTGAAAATGGAGTCTTAATTAACTAAATTATGCAAGGATTCCTTACTGATGAGCTGAAAACTGGGAAGACCAGGAAGAGTTGCATACAGTTGAGTAGAAGTGTGTATTTATATGTAGTGTTGGGCTTAAGTGTGTCTTTATTTGCGAAGAGGAGACCGGAAATCTGCATAGACAAATTTAAGCAAGAAATACTAGTAGATGGACTGAATCACGGCGTTTTTATAAAGAATCTAAGGTAGGAGATCTATATGAATCAGGGATTTTTTTTTAAAAAACCAATGCTAGATGCTTTTATAAACAAAACGCATTCAGACTGTCCGGTCTATATGGACTCCAACACTTTTCTAATAGATTACAAGTGTGATGGTCTTTCCAGTAGTAGTAAGATGTATTTATATATAAGTTTCATCAAGATGTCCTTATAGAATACATGAAATAGGAGTCAAGCTATAATAGGGAGTTATTATGGACTGGCTCAATAAGGACTTCTTATTGTTCTAATGCAATAACGTTTTATATATCAGATATTGCAGAAATTCTTTATAGATGAGTAGAGTCAGATGTCTTTGAAAAACTGTATAAGTGACTCTTCATTCACGACCTGAACTGACTAACTTGGGTAAAGTTATTGAGGATTTTTTATATTTTAATCATTTTCTTCCATTTCAGCATTCTTCCCCGCGATTATTAATTCATTTGTTCATGTGATTATGTATACATACTACGGTCTGAGTGCTTGTGGGCCCGCCATACAAAAATATCTTTGGTGGAAAAAATATTTGACAGCATTACAATTGGTAATAGATAGCAAATAAATAAATTACACTGTGACGCAACATCGACCTCTTGGTTTTGGGTTTGGAAAATTCCTTGAAAGCCATTGGCGAGTATATTAAGAATTTTCGAATTTTAGAAATCTATTTTTGTGGTATATAGCTTCGATTCAAGAAAATAAGAAAGGAAATATCCACATTCGCCTTGACGGAAAAAATGTCATCTTAAAAAGAGCATACAATAGACGCATAAGTTATAAATTAACCTATGGTGAATTTGTCCTTTTGAATTCTTAATATACTCTCTAGGGGCTTTCATCCCAAAATAAATATACCACTCCCAAAATCTTGTTGCTCATTGTTATGCTTGAATTAAGTATTTTTCAATATTGTCTTTTTATTTATTTTAGTTACAATTCACAATTGGCTTACTGTGGGCCGTGCAAGCTCTTATCAAGCAATGTGATTTTCCTCGATGGATAAGTTGGACCACGATAATTTATATGATTTCATTTTTGATACTTTTCGGTCGATTTTATAAAAGAGAATATACGCGTTCGCATCAGAAAACGAAGCAAAAATTAAATTAATTAATAAATTATCACAAAAATTCTACAAATGTAAAGTTGTAAAAACAAAATTTTTTTCTATGATAATTAAATAAAAACCCGTCTTAAAATTAAAACATTTATAGTAATCCCACATTAAGGCTTCTTAATATTTATAGAATTTATATAAATAAAGCTTTTTACTTTAATTATATATCCTAATATCTGTATATAAGAACAAATGAAGAGTTGTATAGCGCGTAATTCGTGACACAATATTGTTTCTCTCGTTGTGTAAATAATGAAGTTAATTAGCGTTGAATAATTACTGCAATGTATTTAAAGTTATCATAATAACAAACTAATTAACACTTTAAAATAGTGTCACTAGCGTCAAAAATTGTGTAGTTATACTGTATATTTTTACAAAAATAGTCATAGCAGAAAATTAACATCATCAATCATGCTAGATTTTTTGTGTAGAATGTCTTGAAGTCCAAATGTTCCATTTTGTGAAAATTAGGTTATGATACATAAAATTAAGGACAACCAGTAAGGAAATTCCAAAAGTCGGACGTTGGGAACATACAAGGATGCTCATATCGACAATATCCTTTAGATATAATAGAAATAGCAACTTTGGAGGACCATCGATAGATATTTGAACTAAATTATAAAAGCCCATACACATAACAATCTGGAATTTGTGAAAAATCGAGGAAAATATGTATAAGATTTCTATATAAATGGACGAGTTTTAGCAACCGTGGCATCATTTTGTATGCTGAAACACAGTGTGCTATCCAAAATTTATCTCGACACAAAATCCAATACATGTTATTCTAGGTTCATTGTGCACTAGTTCGTCCTAAGCGGACAAACTTTGGGTATTTGGTAAATAATTTTGATGAAAAAACTTCAAGTATATCGACCTGCAGTAATTTCAATACGCAAAATGTTGTCCCAATTGGACAAACATTGGTAGTATGATGTACCAGCTATATCTAAATCTGAACCGAGTTCAACAAAACTTCACAAACATCAATCTGGTCCTATGCTCAATTTTGTGCCAATCAGCCTAAATTTGACTCTTTGGTGCTCCATTTACATACAATCCGACGAAACTATATGTGGGTGGTAAATCTAAATCATAACCGATTTCAATAAAACTTGGCATATATCAATCTAGACTAATTCAGTACTCTGGGCAAAATTTTGTTTTCAAGCGGACTAATACTGGAAGTTTGGTGCCCCATTTACAAATATCGGACGAAACTATATATGAGAGCTATATCCAAAATTGAACCGATTTTTACAAAACTTTGCATATAACAATCTGGCCCTAATTCAGTACTCGGTGTAAAATTTAGCTTCAATCGGATCAATATTGGCCGTATGATATTCCATTTACATAAAATCGAAATAACCAACTATATATAGGAGTTATATTTAAATCTGAATCGATTTAAACAAAACTTGGTATATATCAATCTAGACCTAGTTCAATACTATGTGCCAAATTTTGTTTCAATCGGACCAACACTGGAAGTTTGATGCACCATTTACAAAAATTCGGACGAAACTATATATGGGATCTAAATCTGAACCTATTTTCTCAAATTTCAATAGGGTTCGTCCTTGGGACAAATAAATGACGTGTGCCTAATTCCATCCAAATCGGATAATAAATGCGACCTGTACTTTGTTCACAAAAATATATGAACGGACAGACGAACATGCATAAATCGACTCAGAAAGTGATTCTATCCATATTCTCTAAAGGAACCCTGGGTCTATCTGGATTCCTTTTGCCTGTTACAAACAAATGCACAAAGACATAATACCCTGTACCACAGTGTGGTGAAGGGTATAACAACGAAATTGTCCTTCCGATTCATAATTTTCCAACCCCAGACCATGATGTTGATTTTGTTGTATAATGTTACTTGTACGAAATTTATTAGACGCAAGATTTTTTAAGTTTTAGATACAAGGACATTTAAAACGTTCGAATATAAAACATTGTTTTTGAAGACCCTATCGGAAATTTTATGTTTGACAATATAAGGTCAAAATACCTATCAAAAATGTTGTTATTTTTATTGGGTTTTGAACAGGCAGTTAGAACTGGGTCATTTATTTCTTTCCTCACATATGTCAACCAAAAATTATTATAAGCAAACGTTTCAAAGACAAGGAAGGATAACAAGTTATAATATACTTTCATCATGTGTAAGAGTATTTAAACATTTTACTCATGCGATTGCAAATACATTAAAGAGCAAAAGGAAACACTTCTTCTTTTATCGATTTCCTTGCCAATTCATGTCTGTTAGTAAAAACTTTCAGTTTTGCACATTTCCTTTTCTTCATCATCATCACACAGCCGCACACATAAAACTATCTACTTCCTAGACATGATATAAGAGCATCTGTCAGCACTTCAATATATCGCTGTCAATAGAGCTCATCTGCCGTAATGGTCATAAAGTCTCTACACTAATGGCCATGAATGTTATGCTCTAGTGGTAGTCAACCTCATTTTGTTTCAGTTACCAACCAGTTTATTGTAACAGTTTATTGTAACATCATTACTGCACTTTACTCGTTCGTTATTGAGTAAGTGTCCTTAATGGAGTAGCATTTATGTTTAAATGATTGAAACAACATTGACTTTTTGTTATTCCTTAATAAGTACTACACTCTAACTAACAAGAAATAATGTTTGTTTATTTAATAGACAATCATCGGAGTAAAGAGAAATAATGGAAAATAGCAAATATAGAATGAATGAATTCAAATTAATATAGAGGAACTCTAAAGTTCATCATTTTGAAATCATAGAACATGATAAAATATTATGAGTGTATTTGTAGAATATTTGCAGAGCAAACAAACATATCTTGCAGTATAAGATATGTAATTTGGATGTATATACAATAAAGTCTCCAAAGCTCTGGTTGGTGTTGCCCGCATTGGCCCACATATAGGGGAGAGGCACCTTATCGGGGCACCTTCGGCAATCGCGTTTTCGAACAAGAAATAATGTTTGATTAGGTATTTCGAAATAAATAACTGACACAAAGTATGAAATTTCTAGCTAATAAGCTTATTTAAATATAGGGGTTTTTGTATTTTTATAGATGTTTCTGTAATATTTCAATCCCATTTCGTAAGTATTTCGTGTATAAAACTTTTAAAATTTTTAAGACAATATTATTAAAAAGTGGTTAATGATGTGTATTATTACAAAAATGTTTAAAAATATAATGTTTTAGAAATCTGATCGAAAAAAATGAAAAAAACTATAAAAAAGTTCATCATTTTACAATGGGGCACATTCGGCCATATACAGATTGTGCAATATTATTTCCTTAAAATGTTTTTGAGTTTGTCTTTAAAACTAATCCTTTAATATCGAAATTGCATATTTAAGATCAAACGAAAACACCCCTATTTCTGATGGTGTGTGCGACCAGATGTAAGAACGAAAATAAAGCCATATAATTCAAACATTGTGTGGCTTATATTTTATTTGATAGTGATGACAATTACCCGGCTATGTATATACAAATAAAGTCGGCAAATTTGACTTTTTTTACAAAACTGTAAAATTTTTTAACTAATACTATTTTTTTATATCTTTTTGGTACTATTTTTTATAATTAAGAGTCAGAGGACAATAATCAGCCATAAAGTTTTTATATATGTTGAATAAGTACTGAGATATAGAGCTCTAAAAAAAAGTGCCGAAGGTGCCCCAGTCTCCCCTACCTAGGTAGCATGTTCTCGGAACTTCCTGTGACGGTTTTACATTACATGTTTTGTCCATTGGTGTCCACCAGACTACCGACGTGAATGTTAGGTTTGGTATGTTAATAACGCTCTGAAAGCTTCATCTTCATCTTTGCAGAAGGACCTACATCTCATTCCGCAGAAGGACCTACATCTCTTGGCTTTGTTTACCCATTTCTGTATTTAAGTTTTCTGTCTAGGGTCATATTTTTGTCTTTCAAGTGAAACATATCTCTGCATTGGCCGCATTTACGTTAAAGCTTACCATCGTTTTAGCCTTCATACATAACAAGTTAAGATTTGGGAACATGTTTATACCCTTCAGCACAGAGTATTATGTCTTTGTGCATATGAAACGAGATAGACACATTGTTCCTGCTGAGAATATGCATACAATCACTTTCTGAGTCGATTTATGCATCACTGTCCACCCGTCCGTCCGTCTGCAGATATTAAATTGTTAACAAAGTACAGGTCGCAGTTATGATCCGATTATTATGAAATTTGGCACAAATCACTTATTAGGCCCAAGGACGAACTTATGTCCGATTTAATGTAAATGGTCCACCAAAGACCCTATATATCTTTCGACTTGCAAGAAATTTTGCATAGCGCCCTGAATTAAGTCTAGAATGATGTTTGTTAAGTTTCGTGAAAATTGGTTCAGATTTAGAAATTTCGTCCGATTTAATGTAAATAGTGTACCAAAGTCCCTATGTATTTTTCAATTTGCACAAAATTTCGTGCACAGCGTACTGAATTGAGTCTGGAATTATGTGTGTTAAGTTTAAAAATCGGTTTAGCTTCAAATATAGCTCCCATATATATTTTCCTCCGATTTAATGTAAATGTTGCACCATATAACCTTCGATTTGCACGAAATTTGGTATAGTGTAATAAATTAAGTGTAAAATGATGTGTTGTAAATTTCCTGAAAAATTTAATGTAAATGGTGCAACAAAGTCGCTATATATCTTTCGATTTGCACGAAATTTGGCATAACGTACTGAATTAAGTCTAGAATGAAGTGTGTTAAGTTTCCTGAAAATCGGTTCAGATTTAGACATAGCTCCCTTATATATTTTTGTCCGATTTATAGTAAATGGAGTTCAAAGTCCCTATATATATTTCGATTTGTACGGAATTTGACAAATAAAGTCTAGAATGATGTGTGTTAAGTTTCGTGAAAATCGGTCCACATATGTATATATATAAATGGTGTACCAAAGTCCCTATATCTTTATATT